GTTATCGAACTGCTTCTCGCATGGGAGCAAAATATTTTTTAATCAATGTTGATGATTTTTCTTGTACCACATCTATATATCTACTGAACCATAAAGATGAAACCTCCACTCTTCTTCAAAATTTTCTCTCCCTTATGCAATGCTAATTTAATACACAAGTAAGACAGATTCGTAGTGATAATGGCACAAAGTTCCTGTGCATGAATCCTTATTTTTCCACTAATGGCATCCTTTTTAAGTCATCTGGCGCCAGTACTCCTCAACAAAATGGGAGAGTCAAACGCAAACACTGTCATGTTCTTAACATTACACGGGCACTCCATTTCCAAGCCAATTTCCCTATATCTTTTTGGGGATATTGTATCCTCGCAACTGCATACCTTATAAATCAAACTCCAAGCCCACTTTTACAAGGCAAAACACCCTATGCAGTCTTGTTTTGTCATGACATCTTATGATCATATCTGTGTCTTTGGTTCCCTTGCTTATGCTCACAATCAAAATTATCATGGGGACAAATTTGCTCCTCGCTCCCTTCGTTGTCTCTTTCTCGACTATCCTTTTGGCGAAAAGGAATAGAGCTTGAAAGACCATGAAACAAATAAAGTTTTTGCAATTTGGGATGTCATGTTCATTGAAAACTCCTTTCCCCACTCACCTGCTGCGCATGACTCCACTCCTCCTTTGTCCTTTCCTGATGTTCAACAGTTGTAGAAGTTGCACAATGATTTGCCTGGACATCGCTCCCCACGTTCACCTTCTGCCTCTTCCCTATAACCTTCACGTCCTACTCCTTATTCCCGCTCACTTGACCCCCCTGCTCTGCCCATTCCTTTCATCGACCAACCGCCCTTTGTCATAAAAATACCTGACTCTTCAAGTCCACCTAAAACTCTCACTTATGAATAAATGGAAACCATTATTATTTTCTACAATTTCGAATAAAGGGAAACCTTTTTTTAGTATTTATGGATTTGGGTTTTGGAGGGAAATGCTTTGGTGGAGTTAGTACATATCTTGATAGAACAAAATGTTTCTAATCCTTCTATATACATTGGTAAGAGGAGCTTATGAACAGTGTTCCCGCCATTTTCTCCTTTATCACTTGGGCCGGACTGGGTTGATGTTCATGGGCCAACTTTTCTGCTCTTCTTTGGGCATGCAGCTGAGAGTTTATGGGGCTGCGGACATTTGGGTAAGTGTGATGCTGCTTTATTGAGTATATTTTCACAAAAGTAGACTCATTTATTTGAAAACAACATTTATTGAAAGATTGTGCAAATCTTCTCTTACATTTGTGTCAAATCTCATCAATAACTGTGCATAGTTGAAGTGACGGGTGAAACAGCTGGAATTAAAAATGGTAATTCACTTTTTTGAGCAGCCCTAATGGGCTATATGTAAAATGTGGCTTATGAGACCTATTAGTGAAGTAGTCTCGAAAGACACCCTTATGGAGCCACACGCCAAACCAATGTCACATCAACATTTAATACAAAGATTTAAAAAATCTCTCCTTTTTTCTTTTGCAGTGGGGTGTGCATCAATTGCCATTAATTAAGGACCAGAAAGTAAGCTAATTTCTTCACCATATATAGAGTACCAAAGTTTAGGTCTTCTACAACATATCCCAACCTGCAAAGTTCTCTTGAATTGAATCAGTTCAAAATATTCTATAATTCCTTATGAAGGTTACAGTTTTAATGCTTTTAATCAAAAACTATTTCTTCTCAAGAGTAGTATTTTTGTACATTTAGAATGCATTTAAGGATATTTTAAATCATACTTCAAACTTCATTTAAGGATACACAATAAGTTTTCGAATTTAGATGTTTCAAATACTGCTTCTTTTATTGTTGAAAAGTTTGATTTCAAAGTTTCAAAAATATGATTTTAAGTATTGAAAGAGCATGATTCTAAGACTCATTTCGCAAATTAAAAAACTTCTCTTAGAATTTAAACAAAATGATTTCAAGTTTTCAAATATATACAATATTTTTGCAATATAAGTTTCAGAGATAGTTTAATGCTTTAATGGTTTGAGAAAGGGTTTAGATTTGAGAAAGTGCTACAGAAAACTAAATCATAACAAAAAAGAAAAACATATGAGGTTGAATCACAAGGTCTAAGCTAACAAGGATGAAACTTGACCTTCGGGATTGCTTAGACAGAGAAAGATCGAATTGATGGTTAAGATATCTTTCATGTTGGTTCATTCTCATTCCGTTTGGAAAAAAATAAATACAAAAAGGATAAAAAAAATTGAACAAAGACAGGCAAAAAGTTCGGGAATTAAAACCAGGAGTTTCATGAAATGAAACCAAGAGTCACTACCTTCAGTGTGAAGATTATTTATATTTGATCTGCTAATTTAATTTCCATTCTCAAACAAATCTACACCACTTTTATAATTGAAACATTTTTAGGAAAAAATTGTGCTTTGCATGTAAAAAAACACCTTAGTAGATTGAAAATGGAATTTCAAAATGGAATAAAAAACTAAAACACAAGCAAATGCAATACTTTAAAACAAAAATACCTTCCAAACAGTAAACGTGTTTTAAAGACCTTAAAGAAGATGCTATTAAATCATAAGATCTCAGCGTTATATTTTGATTTCTAATTTTTTTAAGATTCAGATTCAAGCGTTATATTTTGATGTCTAATTGTTTTAAGATCTGAGCATTTTAAGACTAAATCTTACGAAGTATATTTTAGCCCAAAGTTAAAAACTTCGATTCACATGAGAAAATAGTTCAAATGATGTATGGATTGATTGTTTTCAAAAATCGACTAGAAAATTAAAAGATTCTCTATGTTAAATCCTCGCAGATTTGAGAGAAAGGATTACCTCAGAGAAACAGCATGAACATCGGAGACGACCACCATCTCTACATCCCATCCGATATCACAGAATAGAGCTTTTAGATCGACGCTATGGAGAAAAGAGACACCCGATTCTTAAAAGATGAGAAGAGGTGCAGACGGCAGAGGATGGGGAATGGGGATAATTGGGAGCAGGGTAGATGGGCTCATCCGGTTAGGTCAGGACCATTTATTTAATCCTTCCTATTGCACCAATTATGGAGTACTTACTAATTTAAATTATTTATTTGGATTACAGTATTTTATTAAACTTATTTTTATTTATAAATTAATGTAAAATTAAAAAATAATAATTGTGTATGTAAATTAAAAATTATATCAAAAGTTCTATAAATCAAGATATGAAATTATTTTATCAAATAGTAAACAAGACATTTAAATTAAGACATAATTCTTTTTCCTTTCTTGCTTTTGTGTGGTGGAGATGGAGGGGGTACAAATGTGGTATCCCAAATGGTGTTCCCCTAGCTTTTTTCGTAGAAAAAATGGTTGCGAAAAAAACTTCCGCAAAAATGCAATGAACAATAATAGGGGTAAAAAATAGAGTTTAAGGTCATGTTCTCTTCACCTGATGATTAATTCTGATCCAATTGGACTAAATTATGATCTGATCTAATTTGGTCTAATCTGAATGTAGTTATATTGTAGTTATATTTAAAATTATTGAGGAGAAAATAAGTTGAGGAGAAAATAATCAAACAAATTCTATTTCTGTAAATAAATGAGAAGAAAAGGATTTGTGATGGTATATGAAAAAAATAGAAAAATAAGAAGAATGGGAGAAGAGGAGATTGGGGTAGAATAGAAGAGAAATATGTGGACAATGCTCATACAATATGATAACAATTAATCCTATAAAATAATAAAAATTATTATTCTCAAAAAATAATGAATATTACATCAATATAATAATAATAATAATATACACATATATAAAGGTTTTAACGAATACATACAGAATTCTAATTAGCGTAGAATAACAATTATGGTAAAAATATTCCATTTTTACTATTCATATTAGATCCAAAAAATACAATCATGCTAGGGGTATAGTTCAATAAAAACAAATTGTACTCACATTTTATATCATTGTAAAACATCATTCTAGCAAAAAATGTTAATAGATGTCTTCGAATACGAAGTGGGTATAATTTTTTATGTGCAAATATCATTTCTCAGGAAAATATTTTAAAATGGGGGAGAAAAAAATTTAAAATTGAATAAGATTGATGTCAAGATAAGAAACAATTTCTTTGAAAACTCTATATCTTAATTATTGAATTCTAAACTCTTTTTGTCTTGATCAAGCACATATTTTGAAAAATTAACTCTTTTTCACCAACTCAGCTAAGCACTCAATTGAGTACCCCATCATCGTTAAATGGTCTTCTTGAGGTTTTAAAATACTAATTTGTGATGATAAACTACTAGATCATACAATTAATATTGTAAGACCTATCTAATTTTTAATGCCCTCTTCATTCTAAATTTTACTACAAATTGATATTTTCAAGGTAAAACGATGAATCTTTTGAAATTATTTTATTTACAAATTTTTACATCATTAAAAAATAAAAATTATATATTAAAAAACTATATCAAAAATTCAAGATAATAAAAAATGACAAAAAATTTTTATTTTATACGCAACGATGATTAGCAAAAGTCAAAAGTAATCTTTGTCTCATGTTAGATTGTTACTCCAGAAATCAATATTCAGTCTTGCCCAATTTTATGTGATAATTTCACATATCTTAAAGGATTAAATTAAAGATCTTAATCTTCAATGAAGACATTGCATTGTCAAATCAAACTATAAACGTAGTTTATAAAGAAACTTTCTAGAACTTATACCACTTTCCATCAATAATGTCTGTAAATATATATTTCTCCTTCTTTAGGATTATATTATATTATCTTATCTTTAAGTATTTTTTCATTTTCCTTCATCAAAACTTTCGATGATTCTTTAATCAATAATTTGTCCGTGCAACGCACGGGTACGAGTCTAGTGATATAAAAATGGTGAGTGAAAGGTATATGACTACCTTTAATGTTGTGTGTGCATAAAGGTTGAGATTATACTTTTAAAGTTTAAAGCCAAATTCCAAGATTTTGTTTCTATCTATTATTCCAACTCACAACAAATTCCAAGAATTTGTTGCTATATATGTCAAGTAATGAGTTTAATTCACATAAATGGCAACACACCATGAGTTCACTCATACCATCTTTGGATGCCATTAACTAACACATTACATAGAAATTCTCATATAGTCAAATATAAGTTTTTTTAGTGTAATTAAATTAGTAACTAAATACGTTAGTAATCGAAATTCACAACTAGGACAATTTTACAAGTAATATCCATTTCATCTTTTGAACAACAAAATCCATTTAACTTCATTCATATCCAAGAACTTGCATAAAATAGAAAGCAAAATGGACCACCATTAGTTCAACTGCAAATGAAATAATGAAAGACTGATCGTGATTAAACAATATGTACATAACCTTATCATTACAAATGAAATAATTATACATTGACCATAACTAAAAAAATATGTAAATACCTTAAACGTATTTTTCCAACACTTCAAGGATTGTTATCCAACATCAACTACTAATACACTTCATAGGAGACAAAATCTAATGAACAACAAAATTCATTTAACTTCATTCATATCCAAAAACTTGCATAAAATAGAAAAGAAAATGGACCACCATAAGTTCAACTCCAAATGAAATAATGAAAGACTGATCGTGATTAAACAATATGTACATAACCTTATCATTACAAATGAAATAATTATACATTGACCGTAACTAAAAAAAATATGTAAATACCTTAACACTATTTTTCCAACACTTCAATGACTGTTATTCAACATCAACTACTAATGCACTTCAAAGGAGAGAAAATCTGTGTCCAGAAAGTACCAGCTACCATATATTTTCACTTTTGTGGAAATGATGTACTACAAATAACCAAGCACTCTACATTCTAACTTCATAAAGTAAATATCTTGAAACCCTGAACAACACTTCATATAAGGTTTGGAAAGGGCTCAGTGTAATAACATAAACAACTGTTTGTGCGTTTATGGCCTAAAGGGTCAAGTGAAATAACCATAGAAGAAGTGGTTTGACAAAAACATTACCTTACATACTAAAATAAACTAGCAACGTACCACTAAATAGCCCATCCTTAAAAACAAAAACATGAGATCAATGAGTTCATAAAAACAAGTGGAAAACTAATAAATTTTATTCCAGTTAATCATAAATCTAGATTTCTAGTTCAAGGAAAGAGACATCATTAAAACTCGTTAGAAAAGATAGTATTATACACTTGAAAAAGTATAAAGAAAAAATAATACTTCACCATGATTTTATCACATTATATCTCATACTAAACTACTAAAGTACATGAGTTTTGAAAAGCCTTACCTTAGCTAGTCAGTGAAGTCGAATTTAGGTTCAGTTAGGTTTGATCCAATTCAACATGTTATTTTGGGTTCAATCATCTTCAAGTTTGGTTAAAAAATATCTTTGTTCAAATCTAGTATTTTCGAGTCAAGTATTACGTCAAAACAAGTTGCGTCAATTTTGGCCAAGGTATAGGCTCTGGTAATGCCATTGCCACTCGAGCTAAGCTAGAAAAAAAATTAGCTATTGCAATCCTCAGAATCCAAACAAGATCCCCAAGATCTCTAAACTCGAAATGCAAAGCCCAAATCTATAAGAGAGGTAGAAGGATCTATGCTCAAGGCCCTAAGTACCTTTATTGGGGGGTTTCAGGGTGCCAAAGTAACTTTGTGTACCTTTATTCTAAAGAAAAGACTCAATCTAAAAATTATCACAAAGTACATTGTACTTAGTAAGGAACACAAATCACAACTAGGGCTGTTCACATTTAGGTCCGGACCGAAAAAACCGACCGAACCGGACCGTTAGGTCTGGACCGAACCTGGACCGAATGGATTTCGGGTCGGTCTTCGGTCCAGAAAATTTAGACATTTGGGTTTCGGTCCGGTCTGGGTCGGTCCGGTTCGGTCCGGTCTTAGACCGATGAACAGCGCTAATCACAACTACAACAAATGCATTATAATCCTAACTCCGTTGGGGTGTGTGGTCAAGATGTACACAACCTTACCCCTAATACATTGACTCTTTCCATTAGTCTCTTGATGTATTTATTGCCTGAAATATTATTTAAAGTAAAAAATTAATTAAGGAAAACATTAATCAATGAAAATATATTACGGAGTAACTAAGTAGTTTATGTTTCACTATCTGTGAATCCCTAATCAATAATTTAACTTGATGAGCTCCTTCCTTATTTGAAAAGTCCCACATTTAGCACTAAATTAGATTGTATATATGCATAAGAAATAATTACTATATTGAGAGCCTGCTCTACGTACAACTGGTTCTTTCTAACTTTATATTCAAGTTAATCGGACATTAGAGTCCAATTTTCGAACTCCACACTCCTATTTCTAAAATAGAAGTCTCCAGTTAGCATACTCCAGACTCTGGTTACCAAACTTCAATATCAGACTTTACTTAAAATTACTCATGTATCCAAACTCTAATTATGAAAATCCACGCTCCTCGCTCCATACTTTTGAGACTCCTATTAAATTAAGGTAAAACGAATATCCCCTTAATTGTCTCCAGTTGCACCACCACCTATTCCCAAAGTAGCTCCCCCACACCCCGACCCTCTGGTCTTTCTCAAATTCAAAGGAACTTTCTTTTAGTCCAGAGAAGAACTCAGGAAATGAAAACAAAAAATTATAAATATTGAAATAAAAGCTCAGGCACATAGTAAAGAGATATATAGCAACAAGAAACTTGAATTTTTATTCCTACACAAACTCTAAATAAATGGATAACTTACTAACCAAAGATATTGGACGTGTCGGGATACAATCGGTGAAGAGAAAAAAATGTCGAGCAAGAATGAGATAATTAAAGATTTGAACCCGACAATTCGCAATCAAAGAGACTGTTGAAATTGGTTGACTATAAACTGGACAAATACTTAGGAGCAAAGGTAGAATTTTTTACACCATGTTTCCATTAAAGAGGGTCTACTCTATAACCTAAAGCCAGATACACTTGATGAATACTCATTTTGAATCGACATTCATTTTCACACATTGCTCATTACAACAACAATACTTCGTACTTATTTATCCTCTCTTTTCTTGTACAATAGTTTTTCATGCCATACTACAGAGTGTTTAATTTAACAATTTAAATGTATATAAATAAATATGTTATAGATAGTAGAGTAGGATATTTGATAGTATTATTATTATTATTATTATTATTATTATTATTATTATTATTATTATTATTATTATTATTATTATTGTAATTTAGGTTTTATTAGGTGAGCGAAATTATAAGCTCCTTCGAGGTTTCTTTATGGTTCTTTCCCTCGTCACTTTTATTGAACCGTCAAGTTAGGTTTATGGTTAGCTAAATAGACCTCCTTTAGAATAATCAATCAATAAACAACTCAAAACCCTAATTCCTTCTCCCCTCTCAGTTCGCCGATCCCCTCCTCCCCCTCAATTCTTCTTCTTCTTCTTCGTCTCATATTCTCAAGAGCTCGAAGACGCTCTGATTCTTCCCTATCCGATACGAGTTCGTATCATTAGTGCTCTCATTGAGAGGAATTCCAAAAAAAACAAAAAAAAAAACAAAAAAAATCCCAATCGCAACACAATCAGCCGCAGATCCAAGCCTTCTTGCCGATCACGTAGTCCAGGAATTGCCTTTGTCGCCGCCAGATTATTGTTTCGCCGAGCACTTCATAGCCGTCGTGCTCCAATTTGCTAGCAGGGCTGCTTTTGCTTTTAAAGAAACAAAGTGTTGTTGTTGCCCCGCCTGCAAATCTGTCGGCACCCTGTTGCACCATATTATTGCCTTGGTAATTGATATTATATTCGGCCGCATCACAAGAAACAAGTAGTGCTGCATATATATTTTTTGGGGGGGATCTTGGCCTTTGCCGTGTAGATTTGTGAGGGGCCTAACTTTAGGCATATATTTGTTACAATTCTTTTTTGCAATTAGGGTGGCTATCCTTCTTGCTCCAACTATGGCCTTGATTTTTGATAAAATTCTCGTGACAATGGACGATGCTTTGAACAAACTTCTTGGTGTGTTGAAGAATATCTTTTATGGAAGAGTTGAGTTTCATGACGGAGTCTGTTTAGCTTATGATCATGTGGATGAAATTTTGAAGACGCTCCACTTATTTCGTCATCTTTTAGATCTACCATATTCTGATTCTGAGTTATATGCGTTCAATGTGGAAATCTCTTGCTCGATACAAGATTTGGTGTGTGGTACTCCAATGGCATTGAGTGATATTCCCTTGGAGTTAAAAAGTTTCAAAACAAAGATGATGGACGCTATAAGGAATATTCTCGGTGTTCCCATTGCTCCACCTGATCTGGCCCCTACAACCACTCTACACAATCCTACAACTAAGGACATGGAATCTGTGGAGCGTACTGGTCATAATTCAATTAGAGTTCCTGAAGTTGCCGATGATGGTGTTTCTGTTGAAGGTATTGTTAATGCCTTTCCATCAGATCTTGTAGTTGTTGATACACCCGTAGATGCACCGGGTAAGGGTGAAGCTGCAAAGGATCAAACATTGAGCAATGTCATCATCGCATGTAGCCTTGTACCTTCGTCCAAAACGGCCCACGTAGCAGATGTAAGTTATACGCCAATGGACATCTCACTTTCATTTGATATCATCCAGTCCTCTGGCCATGCGAATATCGTGGAGTCCGAGTATTGCGTTTCATCGCAGGTAGCAAAGTTTGCATTTGCTCTTCTCTCTTATGTCCAACGCTATACTCCAATCTGCAAGCTTAGTGAGTGGACATAATCTTTGGGTCAACATCTTCTCTCCAGTCCAGAAGCATGAGTGGGAGCCTCCACTTTGAGGACAAGGTGGTTTTCTAAGGGGGTGAGAGTGTTATGGATAGTAGAGTAGGATATTTGATAGTATTATTATTATTATTATTATTATTATTATTATTATTATTATTATTATTATTATTATTATTATTATTATTGTAATTTAGGTTTTATTAGGTGAGCGAAATTATAAGCTCCTTCGAGGTTTCTTTACGGTTCTTTCCCTCGTCGCTTTTATTGAACCGTCAGGTTAGGTTTATGGTTAGCTAGGGTTTCCTTATCTCCTATAAATAGAGATGTAACCTCCTTTAGAATAATCAATCAATAAATAACTCAAAACCCTAATTCCTTCTCCCCCTCTCGGTTCGCCGATTCCCTCCTCCCCCTCAATTCTTCTTCTTCTTCCTCGTCTCATATTCTCAAGAGCTCGAAGACGCTCTGAGTCTTCCCTATCCAATACGAGTTCGTATCAAAATACTCCAACCAACATATGTAAAAAGTACTTGAGCCAACAAATCAATGCTTAAAAAATGTGTATACTAAGGATGGGTTCGATTTTGATAGTTCAGTTTTCGGGCAAAACTAAAGACAAAATAGAAGGTAAGTTAGAGGTTCAGTTTTGCACAAAAAATAAGTAAACCATTGGTTGTTTGGTTTAGTTTTATACAATTTCTATTTTGGGTTTTTTCAGTTTTTAGAAATAAAAATTTATAAGCAGTAAAAAAGTTGTCAAAACACTAAATCGATGAAGCAATAACAACATGTAGGGCTGCGCTTAGTTACTAAAATCAAAAGCCAAGCAGAGGGTTAAAGTTTAGTTTGATTTTACGCAAACAATATGCATCGAGTGTCTAATGAGCATCTAGGAGATTCCAAATACTCTCAAAGCTTTCATATGTAAATATCAATTATGGAGTATTTGTGTTTTTGGTATAGTTTTTTATTTCCATTTAACATCAAAGGTTTTAATGTGAATATGTAAATTACTTGTATCAAATTTTAATGTGAATATAACTTTGTATTAGGATTCGTTATTGGTGTTTATACTTTTAGATTTTTTTTAAAGTTTTTAATATGGTTTTAAATGTTTAGTAGTTAAGGTAGAATAATTTTAATCGACTGATGAGTTTTTTTCATTTATATATCTATAATTTTTTTGCATATCACATATACTCATATACATAAAACGAAGTGTATAGGAAAGTTTGGTTTGTTTGGTTCGATTCGATTTTTCAGAGTGAAAACCAAACAATAATAGTTTAGTTCTTTTTTTCTAGCTCGTTCTAATCGATTCTGGTTCAGTTTGCGGTTTGCAGTTTTTCCAACCTAGCCCGACTATACTGTGGGGTAGATGATTTAAAATGGAAACATATCCAACAAAGCTTTAAAATCTAAAATTTGGAACCATGCAAATTAAACAAATTAAGAGCATCTACAATAGGTAGGGTAAAAAGTGGCCGTGTATATTTTTTCACACTATCAATAGTGTTTACACATCCATTTTTATACTCCTATCCATTTTCCTGAGAACAACCAAATAAAAAATTAAGAAAAGTTAGTTTCTACACTTATTTCTCTCTTAACAAAACAAAATTAAGATTTCAAATTTGTTTTCTTTAAGATATTAATTTATTTCCCAATTTCTTGAGGTAAATTCTTTTGACTTAAGGTTCATGCTTATTTTATGAACCTTAGTGCACTTGTAGCATGGAGAAATTTGGCCTTTTTCAAAACAGAAAATATCCACAAGAAAACCCATGAAAAATGTGAGAAGGTCGACATTTTAAATGCGATTCTAGGGACCATGTAAGTATCACTCATTTCTTGAACCTAACATAGTGTTAATTAATCACAATCCATCATTTACACAAATGTTTAGATATTCAAAATGATGGATATTGGGCTAGTCATTGGGCTGAGGAAGGCCTGAGAGTTCCATTGCAGTGGCCTAATAAGAATAATGCGCTTGGTACCCATAGTTAGAGCAGATCGGGCCAAGTAACCCGGTAAGGTGATGGATTGAGCCAATCCTAACATCAGATCGCATGATATGGGGATAGAAATCCCACTGATCGTGGGTGATTGACGACGGATTCCTTGTCCATAATTGGCGCACCATTAGCTAGTTAGCTCGATATTGTAGCGCACGAATTACAGACCATGTATACAAAAATGTTAGACTATAAATAAAAGGTGACTCTCCATTGTAACCCAATTTGAGTCAAGTTAATACAAAGATACAAGAGTTATATTTCATCCTAAGATATTGTTTTTAGTTACATTCAAGTTCTTCGTGCCACCATAGTCGTTGTGCTAAGTCCCATCACAAAATATTGTAAATATTATTGGATTGAGGTTGTTCTTCATGGGAAATGTGGACTTTGTTACAATATTTATGAGCTGGTAAATGTTTTTTTTCTATTTTACAAAAATTTCAATTCTTTTATGATATCAATGCACGAAGATTCATTAAATGAAGAGGAATTTACTTAAATAGGACTAAAATATGATAACTTTCTCAATATAGGACCATATGTCTTTGTTTCCCAGTGTAGGACTATTGGTCATTATGCATTAGTCATTATTCAAGTGAATATCCACCTTTCCAGGATATTATTCCTCTCACTAGACATTATTAAGTGCTATTTATAGAATAAAAAAGTTTAAGTCCTACATTGAAAAATGAATTATGTTTTAATTCTATTTAGTAAAAATTTCACTAAAATGAATGTACCTTAATACTAATAATATCTTATTGGATTTAGGCTATGTTCTTTTCACTTGATCTGAATAGTTATGATCTGATCAGAGCAAGTTTGGATCTGGTCTAATCTGAAAGTAGTTATATTTAAAACTATTTCTGATTTGAACTGGTTAGATCTAATTTCAATAAGAATAAGTAATACATAAGAAAAATAAGTTGAAGAGAAGTTAATGAGAAGGTATATGGTACAACCAGATGTACGGTACATCCGGGTAGTACTCATTCTGAAGTAGAGTAGTATTCATTCTCGCACAAATATAATTAGCGTAGTACTCATTCTAAAATAATGCAGTACTCATTTTCACACATTTGTTCAATATAATTATAATATTCATCTACAAATAATGTAGTGTTCATTCTTAAATAAATTAATATCATTCTAAAATAACTTAGTGTTCATTCTCATGAAAAATATGCATAATATAACTTGCAGAAGTTAATAGACTGATAATTTAAAATTTTAATTCAATCCACAAAGTTTCATACTTTGAGTATGTGCGCCTCTCTCTACCAAAGCTATCAAAAAAAATTGGGATGAAGAGAGTAATATGTAAGAGTCTCCTCAATTTCGCACGAAGATTGAAAGAATGCCCGGCCATTTTATAGTTATAAAATGTAACGCAGCATTCACCTTCTGCCCTTTAAGATTAAAGAGTAGTTAAATTACAATGAAACAAATGGTTTTAAATCAATCAAGAGACATTCAGTATATAATGTGGCCTTGAGTGTTAAAAAAATTATGTTACACTATAATTTTTGTTTTTTAGATGTAAAACAACGACTATACCTATATACAACTTTAATTTGTGCAACAAGGGTAACTAATACAGTTAGTGCTATGACTCCATCCATGCCACAGTGGCAATGGTGAATTTGAGTAGAAGGAACTAAGAACTCATTTTGGAAGGAGGCTTTGCTGCAACCGGTCTCTCTTGGGCTCTTTAACGAGAGGCATAGAGCACTCGGATTGAGAGGCTAGAATCAGAATCTGCATAAGGATCACCACAATGACGAAAAAGACTAGGCAAAAGGCAGCCTCTTTCCATGAGAAGGGAAACCGTTCAAACAATTTCACGGCGCCGTAGAAAATGAGGCATGACAAGGTAAGCACAACCTGTCATGATGTTTCCCACGGTTAGAGTATAAAACCTTCCCACACAAACGTATCACGAAATCAGCTAAATGCGGAAAATTTCAAAGATCAAGATTGTTATAGAAAGTCTTGAAGTTTTCTCAAACATTATGCCTAGTGATGAGCCCAAAACATTAACAATCAAAATAAGGTCTTTTCAGGATTGTTGTAAAATGGGGGAAATAAATATAATACTTCGTAAGAGCCATTAAAAGAAAGGGACATACAATGAGAAATGGGGATGAATAACTAACGTACTAACCACTAAAGATTTTTTCGTTCTGCCACTCTCGTGGAACTCTTTGTCAGCGAAAGACCCGATCGTAAGATGTTGCTCCAGTAAAGCATCCTTTCCCAATGAAAGAGAGTTTCTTAACAAGTAGGAATTTTACAAAGGATTTATTTAATACTAGAGCTTTGCATATAATTTCATGAATAAAAAAAGTACCTTTTCCACGAAAACATCTTTACACCACTGTGAAATGTCACTTCCTGTTTCTGGTAAATCCTGCATCAGATGGCGTTCAATGTGAACATGCACCTGCAAGTTGAAGTTAAGCACTTAGATGTAATCAATCATCCACAAACACACAAATGAAAGATAGACTTTTTCCCCTTCAAAATCTGCTAAAATGTTTTGGACTTGCCACTGAAGAACGCCCTCTTAGCATTCTTAACATTGTGGGTGTGGGTTCTGCTTTGGGTATGGCAACTGTTATGTTGTAAATTGCTGGAACGAATGAGCGCAGCTGATGTACTGCCATAACAAAACCCTGAATAGTGTAAAAAAAAGAATAATATAAACATCGACAAAATTTTCTTTTTCTAAGGCTTCATTTGGTACATGAAATTCAGGCCGTGGAATTAAAATTGAAGACTTCAATTCTAATTTCGTACCACAAATTTGGGATTGAATTACGATTCCGGATTTTCCGATTCCACATTTTCAATTCCATAACACAACAAAAGAATTTGAAATCTAGATTTTGAATGTTACGGGTCAAAATGAAATCACACGGATCCTTTCTGGATCATAACAAAGAAACAGGTCTTATAGACTTTTGATATATTGGGAAAATAGCTTTTCGGCTACCGTTTAACTAAGAAGGCAAATTAAAAATTACTCGTACAAATTAAAAATTGTAAATCTAAAATTTAAAATTTAAAAATATAAATCTAAAAATTAAAATTTGAACTTTATAATTTAAAATCAAAAATTTAAATTTTAAAATTTAAAATTAAACATTAAAATGAAAATTTTAAACTAAAAATTAATGATTAAAAATTTAAAATTAAAAAATTATAATTGAAGTTCTAAAATTTGGGATTTAAAAATTAAAAATTGAATCTTAGAAATATAAATAAAATAAATGAATAAAAATAAAAATTTAAAACTAAAAAAAATATAACAAATTTGAAATTTGAGATTTTGAATTTAAAACATAAAATTTAAAAATTAAAACAAAAAGTTTGAAAATAAAAAATAAAAATTAGATGTTCATAAATTAAAACTAAAATTTAAAATTAAAACATAAAAAATTGAAAATTTTAAAATAAAAATTTAAAATACAAAATTAAATGAAAAACTACACAGTAGAAATTGAATATTCAAAATTTAAATCTTAAAACTTAAACTTAGATATTTAAATTTCAAATCTCATAAATTTTAAATCTAAAAATTCTTGAACTAAAAAATAAAATAATTAATTAAAATATTTTTGAAACTTAAAAGAAAAAGTAGGAACTAAAAATTAAGAGTATTAAACTAAAACATAAATTTCAAAAAATTTGAAGTTTTGAATTTTAACATTAAAATTTTAATCATTGAATTTATGTTTTAGATTTAAAATTTAGATTTTAATAATTAAAATTTCAAATTTCAAAAATAAAAATTTAATTTTAAAATTTAAAATTTAAATTTTAAATTTTAAATTTTAAAATAAAACTATAAAATTATAATTTTATTTCCAATTTAAAAATATAAAGTTTAAATTAAAGTTTTAAAATTTAATATATAAAATTTAAAATTTAAAAATTATAGATTATAAATTATAAATTGAGAAATTAATACAAAAATAGTAAAAATTATAAATTAAAAATTAAAAATTCTGCCAACACACCCTGCTTGAAAAACCAGCTAAACTCATCAATTATTTGGATAAGATGATACAAAGGACCAACGCTCACAAGCTGAAAGGCCAAAATACAATTCAATATAAGTTCTATATACAATTTTATGTTACTTAACAAAGAATTTGGAATTATAATACGATTCTATATCAACTTCTTAATTTTACAAAACAAAAGATATGTTCAAAGAGAAAACAAAGGGTTTGGAATTGAAATAGAATTCAATTCTATCAATTTCTATTCTATAGAATTTCGATTCCAATTTCGTGTACCAAACGGAGCCTAAATCTATCTACACACACACACACATAGCACATTGATGATTGAGAGCAAACTTGTGGCCAGCTCAGATCACCTCAAGCAAACTAGTAATTTTAAGACAGTTTTCTATTGGCAAACCGACCTTAGTTCGGGGAATCAAAACATTCTTCGGAACGGGCAGTCCAGCTGATGCAGCATAATCTTGGGCTGCTTCAAGCTTTGCTTGAGTAAAGCGTGTCCCCTCTGGAAAAAGAGCCAACCAAAATGGCCGGGGAAAGTCTTTTAGATCTTGGAAACCTGCCTGCAGCAAATGAATACAATAAATAAATAAACACATCGTAGTCTAAGTAAACAGAGATCATTCAAAGTAAAGGTAATGTATAATAGATGGATAGATAAGATAACCTTCAATGTGTGCTCATCCTTAGTCCAACACCTTTCAAGAATAATATAACCTGAAAACCACATTGACCACCCCAAAACCTGCCTACATATATACTAAATAACTTTAGTTCTTTATGTCCTATAAATGTGTCCTCGCATTTCCTTTAAGCACAGTCACATAATGCGTAGTGTAACATTTAAAAGGGCATTTTCAAGTAGTATGTTATAAAAAATTCTAAGATGACATCATTGACATGAAAGTGCTGTTGGTGATTTTAGTGTCATCAATTTATTTTGTGTAATTGGATTTACTTTGATCGGACAAGAATTTAAATAGACGTTGTCAAACGAGTTAGGAGGCGCAGAGTGCGCGCTCGTTCAACGATATTATAAATTCACTGCGGGGTCCGGGGGCGGCAGCCCCCGGGTGGCGGGGTCCAAGGGGCAGATTTCGGACGTTGTTTCTTTAAAAAAATCCTTAAGATTTTCGTGACCGGAGTCCTAAACGGTAAAGGACTCGTACATAATGGATAAACGTCGAAATTAAGCCTTCAACCGCAGGAGACCTTTCGTTCAAACTCGCACCTTTCTTCTTCTTGCGCGAACATACGCGTACATCTACGCGAATGTTCATGTCCGATCACAAGGATTTTCGACTCTATAAAATAGAGTCTCGTGGTATGGGTTGAGATATAGATTCTCGAGTGCTTGTTCTGAATTAACGTCTTATCCGATTGAAGTATTTTGTATACCCCGAAATAACTTTGATCTGAAAGCGTTTCGTACGCGATTCGTTATTCTATCGAGTTCTTCGTTTAACACTGCTTCGCAGTGTTCTTCATTTCATAAATCCAACAAGTGCTTCTAATGATATGAATTGACAACATACTAGGGTTTTTGTACTGTGAGAAACTTACCGGTATATATGATAACAATTTCTTTATGATAGCTAGAGCATTACCGAGGCAACCGGCTCGCTGTCAACCATTTCAAATATCAGCTACGGGATAACATTATAATATGAATGATATGACAAAATAATCAAAAGAGGTAATAAACTACTCATAAACATTTCCCCATAAAGTATTGAAGTATACCCATCTCAAAGCACTGTTTTTTAAAGATCAAATCCAATTATTCAAATCCCTTATTCCTCCACTCAAGAGCTTTCTAACTTCTCAGGTGAGTTGGGGTTGCAAGGTATTTAGATAAAAAGATGCCAACTATTATGAAGTACCGATGAACATAACGTAAAATAATATAAAGAATTGGGAATATGAAGCAAATAAACTTTGGAAAAACGCCATCTTCTTAAGAGATCATCATTACTATATAATAGAACTTATATAATAATATGATCAAGGTCAATTATATAGATACCTGAGCTAGGACCCATCCGACAAGCCAGTCAATGTCACTCTTGTGGTTAAAAATAAGAAGTGCATGTTCTTCGGCTGCAGTTGGATCAGTAAATCAACAAAAAAATGAAATAATTATATTGGTTTTAAACTGAAGAACTAAAGGAGCTAGCTAGAATCTTACCCATTACATCATAAGTTTTTTGGTCTACATATAGCTCTACCTGTAATGATTTAGGCGATTATTTAGTTCTCAGCACGTATATAAAAAATAAAAAAATGAATATATGATTTTGTAGGGAACAATAATATAAATTTTATTTAAATAGAGGTTTTAATTTTAATCTCATAATACTCCGTAACTTTTACTGCATTGGCTGCACACACCAAGGAGAAGGAATGAAGCCCTCCCTTCCCTGTCCAAGATAATAATCTTTGCACCACCATTTGATAGATAAAGGCTCCTAAAGTTCCATTTAACAAACCACCCCCAAAATAGAACGTAACTAGTAGAAATTGTGGTAGAAACAGGCTTTAGAGTTGCATGACTTGCGTAGAAGTCACACTAAAATAGAGTATATGGAGTGCAAGTTTGGCAACAGAAGGAGAGACAGTAACATCGAGGTGAAAGTTGGAGAAAATACTATACCACAAGTAAAGAGATCTAAATATCATGGGTGTATCATTCTAGACAATGGAGAAATAGAAGATGATGTTAATCACAGGATTCAAGCACGTTGGTCAAAATGGCGGAGTGCTTCATGCTTTATATGTGACAAAAGAGTACCTTTAAAACTAAAGGGAAAATTTTACTGTACTGTTATCAGACCGGCTATATTGTATGGGACAGAGTGTTGGGCAGCAAAGGGTGAACATGAACACAAGGTTAGTGTGGCGAAAATGAAGATGATTCGTTGGATGAGCGATCATACGTGTATGGATAGAATAAGGAATGAAGATATGAGAGCTAAAGTTAGAGTGGCACCTATTGTAGGAAAAATGGTAGAAACTCGTCTTAGGTGGTTTGGACATGTGAAGAGAAGACCAATAGAGCATCCCGTGAGAAGGGTTGATCAAATGGTGAATAGGCATGTCGCTAGAGGAAGTGGCAGACCTAAGAGGACTTGGCAAGCATTGATCAAGGGAGATCTTTGCGTGAACAATCTCACAACAGATATGATACACTATAGGGCACAATGGCATCGTTTGATCCATGTAATTGACACCACTTAGTGGGATAAGGCTTTGTTATTGTTGTTGTTGTTGTAAGATAAAATTTCATAAACTATGTTTGTAATTTTGAGCAATGTAATGTATGAAAAAAGGTCTCGAGACACCTTTATATTTGCCCACCATTCAAAAAGCCAAACAGGCTGCAACCACAACAGTTCTACAACTTCTTTGTTTATCCTTCGATACACGTTCTTTGAAATTGGACGAACGAGAACAAATATCATAGCCTGAGATTGCAAACACTCAGAAATGCAGTTAATAAAATAAACCATTATGTACAATGCAATAAACATTTTAGTAGCCTTTTAAATTCTAATATGCAGAGCAATGTTACTATATATATTTTATGCTCCTTCACCAAAGAAAAAAGATCATGTACAACTTTATACAATGGTTAAAAGTCATAAACTCCTACTACGTAGCACTCCGTGATATTTATTTAAAAAATATAGATTATTGAACTACGCTTATCATATTCAACAAATCACATGAAAATGATAGCATTTCTTGATGAATTATTGCTCTTTTAGGATTTCTAAAAACCTGTTCTTTGGAACTGTAGGAGTAATACAGAGTAATTTTTATGCAAATAAAACTAGGGAGAGCCCATCAATTTGTTGCCAGAAAAAGAATGTGCATTAACACGTGTAAGGACCACCAAACGTTACATTAACTCTACATTAATAATAGCTTTTAAAAAACTCTACATTAATAAGATATTTTCCAATTTAAGTCATGCCAAAAAGTATTTGTTTTTGAACACCTGGTCTCCTACTCCTGGAGTTAAGGTGACAATTATATTCAAGGCACTCCCTTCATTTTCAGGTTTGGGGCAAGCAACATGTTTTGTTTTTGTTTTTATTTTTGAATAATATCTTGAATGTCTCATAAACAACAAGAGTAACTAGAGAACATTAACATTCACAATAAATCTAAAAGAAAACATCATATACAAGCAAGAAAATTTAAGTTATATCTCCTCAAGCTGGCTAGATTTTTATTTCTCTTCTCCCGCATCGCGAAAATACAAAAGAAATCAACACAAGACATCCTAAAATTAAAATTAGAAAAAGGAGATTTTAGAATGCAGGAAAGAGGTACCTGAATGAAGTTAACAACAACACCGGAGACGATGAAAAGAACGCCCAGCGGAAGAATAAGTGCGGCCGCGATTGCCATTGCAGAGGGGAATAAGGGAGGCGACGAACATGAATAAAGAAAGTTGTAAATATGGCTGGAATTGGGGAAGTGCAAAACAAGGCAAAAATGTTTTTCATTTGGACGGTAAAACTCAACTGCTGGTGCAGATTCCCCCTCCTTAACCGCAAATCAATCCCCTTCCATTTTCTATTTTCCATTTCTCAACAAGGAAATAAATTCTGTCTTCCAATGGCTCCCGTTTCTTTTATTTTTCTCTTTTTTCTAGGGATCTTTTGTTCTGTTCTCTTTGTTTAGGATACTCGCATTTGAACCGTTAAATGTAATTTTGTTTTATTCTGTAATTTTTCTAAAATTTTTTTAATGCTATGTTTCTGATTGCTTTTAGTTTCTTAGAGAAAAATTTCCATAAGATTCCAATTATAATATCTAAAATTTGATAACATGAGTTAGAGGAAATTATTTTTGAAGAATTTTTTCTCACTTGTAAAAGATGAACCTCATCCCCAATGATCCCTCAATATCACTCGGACAGTTAGCTGAGAGAAAGAAAAAAGACTTCTCTGAAAGAGGAAAATGACTTTTTTTCTTTGAACGAAAGTTCATTTTCATAATAATTTCTCAACTGCTCTGATTTCTAGAGCAAAGCAAAAAACTTCCTCCACTCCACACTCACACCCTCCTCGCCCCTAGAGGTGGCAATCAGGTCAACCGGATCGGTTCCGGATGGGATTAATTCGGTTCAGACATTTTTCGGATATGCGTTATAATCGGTTCGGTTTAATTTTGGTTCGGATTTGATTCGTTTCTAGACATTTTCAATTTCGGTTCAGTTTCGAATCGGTTAAGATTCGGTTCGGATATAAATAGGTTCGGATAGATTCCGGTTCGGATACAATTTCGATCGGATGTATTTCAGTTTCGGATCTAGTTCGGTTTGGATATATTTCGGTTTCGGATATATTTCGATCAAATGGACTACAAATTACGAAAAAAATATATTTTATGATGATATAAGTTTAATATCATAATATTGATTTTAAAATTTAGTTTTGATATATTAAAATTTTATCACATCAAATAATATCATTAGGTTTATCTTTATAAATAAAAAGATAAAAGATAAATTCAAATCGTATTAGGATTGTGTTACACTCTAACTAGTTTTTATCCCGTGTTTCGCACGGACTCGCATACTTTTTTATAAGTATAGCTATAAAATTGTTACTTCGTATTATATTAAAAAATAAAACTCACATTAAATAAATAAGAGAATAACTCTTTAAGTTATTCAATCAAAATGTCTATTATTGATGGAATATATAAATATTATACATGTATGTGCATATGAAAGATAATACATTAAGGAGCTGTTTGGCAACTTCTGAATAGGTAAGTGATGAACCAGTAAGAGGTCTGAACCATTAAGTGCTGAACCAGTAAGAGGTCTGAACAATTAAGAGCTAGTATATTGCTTAACTATTCAGAGGCATATGTCTGATCAATTCAGATAGGAGGTCTTAACCATTCAGACTCTGTATAATACTTAACCATTCAGAAGCAAATCTCTTAACCATTCAGACATCTGAACCATTAAGAGGCTGAAACAAACAGTCTGAACAATTAAGTGCTGAACCATTCAGACATCTGAACCATTAAGAGGCTGAAACAAACAGCCCCTAACTCTTCTTAAATAACTTTGTTAGACATTTCATTTTTTGGAGATATAGTGGTATGCGAGGGAATGATTTATTCATTAATTTCTTCTATGAATCTTATTATTTTACACTTTGACTAATTAAATTTATAATTTTGATAGAAAACTATATTTTAAGTTTCTAAGGAAAAGTTTTAATTTTTTGGTTCATTTTACCATCTCTGTGAATTAAAATTTAATTGTATTTATTATAGTTTTTTAATAATAATATTACATGCATTATAAGTTCTTTTTTAGAAATTTGGATATGATAATTTATTGTAGCTAGACTATTATTAGATATGATATTTCCACCATCTATGGACGTTTGCATTATATTTCCACTTTTGGATCATGACTATTGAATACTATATTTTTTAATTATCACTAGATGACTACTTTTTGGTGTTTAGCAAGATTCTCATTTCTGTTTTATTACTGGTTTGCTTTATTTTATTGCATGTATGCTTAGATTTGGAAAAAGTAATTTTTATGTGTTTTATGTCATCTATTTTATTGCTCATTTGCTCTATTTTTTGTAATGTTTTTAAAACATGATAATCCATTTTATGAGGGAATGAGCAAATAATATAACTAGTTCAAATGGTAAAATAAAAGAAAAAATTTAAAAATATAATATGCTTATTGAAAGGCAAACACATTTTTGAATTTATCAGTTTTAGTTCTAATCGGTTTCGGATATTATCGGTTCCGAATCTAATCGGTTTCGAGTTTTATCGGTTTCAGGTTATATCGGTTTCGGATTTAATCGGTTTCGGGTTAAATCGGTTCGGATATTATCAGTTTTGGATTTAAATCGGATATGAATTATTTAGTTCGGTTTCGGTTCGATTCAGATCATTTTGGGTTTTTGGTTATAGATCGGATCTTCATTTTTCATATCATTTCGGTTTCGGTTTCGGATAATTCGGTTCGGGTAATTGGTTCCGAAACTGTTTTGCCAACTCTACCCGCCCCCACCCTTCACTCTAACTAGCTGACGAAAAATGACTCGATATGTTTTTGACCCAAAATTCGACTCGAAAATTGTGGGTTTTGAACAAAGATTTTGATGACCAAACTCGAAGTTGACCGAATCCAAAATGACCCACTAAAAAGGAGTCAAACACGAGCTAACCCGAACAGTTTTTCAACCGAAAAACTTGTTTTTGACCCAAACAAATATTTTGATGACCGAACACGAAGTTGACCAAACTAAAAATGTCCCGCTAAAAATGAGTCAAACTCTACCAAACGTGAACTCGACCTGGTCGACCCACTAATGTAAGAGTTTTTAAAATTATATACTTTTTTATGAAATATAATGTTATAAAAATAAGGTTATAATTATATAATGTTAAATGGAATGAAGTAAAATAATATGGAACGTGTGACGTACATATTAAATAAATATGCTGACATTTTAATTATATGATAGTTAAGTTTGTCAAAACTTATGGCTGAAATTATATATATATATATATATATATATATATATATATATATATATATATATATATATAACACGGTAATATAATTAATGAATTATTAATATATATTTAATATTTATTTTGTCCTAATTATATGATAATTAAAGTTGACAAAATAAATTGTTATATTTTATTTGCATAGACCGAAAATAAAAGTGATGGGAGGAGGTAGGAGTTTGTTTTGATACACAACTCTACTTCCACAATTACAAGAGATATGATCTTCTTTAAACAATAAGATGACACGCCACTTTGGATCACTCCTCCACCCCTTGGCCGAAAATCACAAATACAGAGGAAGAGAAAAATAATTTTCTTCATCATTTCCAATTGAATTTCTATATTCAAGTAATATTCTAGGAAGAATTTACTATCATAAATTCTTGTTTGAACACCGTTCGTTGTTCGTGTGGACGCGGTAGAGGTTGGATTCTTTTGTGAGTAGTTCATTGTACTAATCCTTTGACCTCCACCGTCCGATTTGTTTTCTACGAGAAAATGTAGTTCATTGTACCACGTCTTTTTGAAATATATATTTTTGGAAATTTTGGATTAATGAAATTAATTTATTGAAATTATTTTAAATTTCCTTGTCTGATAATTTATATATTTAAGAAAATAAAATATTCAAAGATGGAAATTCGATTTCCATATTCTAGTAGGACACAAAGTCTATATTTTGGATATATATGGATTCTTGGAATATTTTGAATATTTAGAATTAATTTTTAAAATTAATTCAATTCCTAAAAGGATAAGTATGAAAATTTCAAAAATAAAATTTATAAAAATTTGGAAATTCGATTTCCATGATCAGGTAAGAGACCAAATTTTTATTTTTGGAAAATAATGAATTTTGGAATTTTTAAATATCCAGAATAAATTTTTAGAAATTAATTCGGTTTCCTACGAATTAAATTTTATAAATTCAAAATATTATTTGATAAAATTTGGTTTTCATATTTGGTATGAGACAAAATCTCTATTTGTGAAAAATATTGATTTTTGGAGTTATGTGAATTTTCAAAATTAAATTTGGAAATAAATTTATATGTCTGCGCCATTAATTGTATAAATATGAAAATAAAAATTTTTAATTTTTGAAAATATGATTTTCAGATTAAATAAATCAAAGCATACATTCTAGAATTTATTTATTAATTTTTGAAAGGTATAAGTATCTATTTCAAGAGAAAACGATAGTGGTAGCCAACTACGAGCCGACAATTTTTACTGCATGTTTGAGGTCAACCCAAACTTGAAACCTCATCAGATTTCGCGAGCCGTAAGTTGAAGATGACGGGTTCCACACCAGCTCGTCATGCAGTACGCCACAACCGGTTGGCAGTAATATGTGACTATATTGTGGTAGCGAGGTACCGTAGTGCTCTTGGTAGCCCGCTAATGACACAAGCCCAAATATTATGTCAAAGAGAAATCAATAGTGGTAGCCAACTACCAGCCGACAATACTTAGCTATCGTCAAGCAATAGTGAGGTACCATTGTCGTGTGACAGGCTGCTAGGGTAATCTGAACCAGTTTATAACCCTTGAATTGTTGTATTTGATTGAGCTTATTGGTGATAATTGTGAACGATGAGCTGAGATTGATGAATAACATGCCTAGTACTTCCTCCGTTCCTAAATAAACTTCTTTTTTGACTTTTTGAGGATTTAAGGGAGGGATATTTTTGTGTTGACTTTCCAAAAATACCCTTGATGTGATGTATAAAAGTAAGATGTGATATGTAGATTATTAGTAAAAAGGTATGATGTGATAGGTAGGGTATGAAAAAGTAAGGGGTAAAAGGGGTTTTTTAAGGGAAAAGAGAAGTTTATTTGGGGACAACGAAAAAACGAAAGGGTAAGTTTATTTAGGGACGGAGGGAGTATATCTAGGCGGATCTAAACTTAACTAAATAGAGTATTGTAATCACCAATGGGATATGTTTAAGATCTAGGCCTTGTGGGGCGTGTTCGCATACTTAAAGGAATTTAGTAATAAATTTCTAATAAATCGTAATTCCGATGTTCGCCTAAATTAAATAAGAATAGAAATGACATGACTAACATAAGTTAATTTCAAAATTATTTTTTTATAATCAAATTTATATTTTAATTATAGGTCTCGAAGAGACAAGTTTATTGGTGTGTTCCATGTATGGATTTGAGTTAAGAAACTTAGTGATTTGACTGTCCTAAGAGCGAAAAGACAAACGAGTAAAAGAATAAAGTAAAAGCATGTCATAACGTCAAAGTAATATACATCCGTCCCCAATTTGATTACAAATTGGGGTTTACGAGGAGAAATATCTCACTTTTTAAAATCATTTTATTTACAAATCGGTATATCGATAAGAAATAAAAATTACATATTAAGAAATTACATCAAAAGTTCTACAAAACAATAGGTGATAAGAATATTTGATTTTATCAAATACTTAATGAAATTGCGTAAACAAACAAAAGTTATCGAGAGGAGAGAGAAAAAAATTGTAATCTAATTCGGGACGCAGGGAGTATTCAATATTGGTGATGTTGGGTGCGTCTTGCAAAAGATGAACAACGACATATTGCTTGACAAGTTTGAAATTACATATAAAAAAGTTATGAGCAAAATACTTCCTCCGTCCCAAAAAGATTAGAACATTTTGACTAAAGTGGTAAAATAAGGAGAGATATTTTGGTGTTGACTTTCTAAAAATACCCTTGATGTGATGAGTAAAAGCAGGATGCGATGGGTAGATTATTAGAAAAATGTATGATATGATAGGTAGGATATGAAAAAGTAACGAGTAAAAGTGGTTTTTTAATAGAAATGAGACGGACTTTAAGGGACATAATTTTTTCGAAACGGGACAGAGTTTTTGGGAAGGAGGGAGTAGATGTTAGAGTTAAATTAATAAATGAAACCCTAGAATAGAAATTGACGTTGGGTACAGTTGTGTGTGTGTGTGTGTATATATATATATATATATAGATATCCTTCTGAAAAACAACTAAACCCTAGCTCAACCGCATCAAAATCAAAGCAGGGAAAGGGAGAATTGGATTCCTCGTGGTTCTGTCCATCAGTATTTAGTAATGGAGAATTCATCGACCCCAGACAGTACGATGCATCTCCATGAAGATGATGAAGAAATAGGCCAGATCGGGCAACTCATTCACAAATACCGCTCCCTTCAGGTGAAGGCGACATCAGGAGCAGAGGATTCCTCCACCAACAACGGCACTGTACATGTCCGGGAAAGTCATACTCGTTTAGCAGCCCAAATCAAAAAACGCATTGACCGGTTTCTCGCATTTAATCCTCACCAGGACCGGCTTCTTAGTGGGGTATCAGGAAATGCCAAAACATCAATGACGGCATCTTTCAAAGCTGAACCTGATTGTGGATTAAGCATTGGTGCCAATTCTGAAGCTGAAGATGTCACCATCTATTTCCGTTTATATTCCGGAAGGCGTAACTGTGGAAGCTTTTTAAACCCCCATACAGACTACGAAATTAAGTGGTATTCTATTTCAACACAGCGCATGTCTGTCAGTGAGGATGGTGAGGATAGGCACATCCACCCCGCCATTCATGACGAGCCTGGTTCTCCCTATTTCAATGTTTTTGGGTGGCTTCCATTTTCTGTTGGGCCTTATATCTTCACCCTCCGTGGTTATGCGGAAACGTGCGTAAGGCATCTATTTTATCATGATACACAAGATACCAAGGGTGAATGGATTGAATTTCCCTACCTTCCAGACACACGTTCTGGTTATTACTTCTTTTCAGCCAATGACAAGGTTTATGCCTTTGGAATGTATGAGGGTCTCTCATTTGGTTGTTACTCATTTGATTTGAAGTGTCGTGATTGCAATGAATTGGCAAAGGGCTGGCAGTCCATACATCCCATCAGTAAAGAACTCTTAGACTGGCCTTATGGTTATTGCATTCAAACTTGATTATGAAACCACCGCTGATCCTGCTACGGGTTATATCAAGCGACGTGATATGCGTGCCGTGTTTTTTACATGGACGGAGATGATTTCCTATGATTTTATCAAAAATGAATTTAAGGTGTCTCGTGGCGACCGCATCAAAGACCCTTTGGAATGTGTAGGTGGTGTTGGTCATGGTAATTTGATTTACTTTTTGTTCAATGAGGAACCAGAAGAAAGAGCCAATCTTATGGTCTACAATGACCGTGTCCATAAATGGTACAAAACTCCAGTTGTTGGTTTGGAGAACATTCCTCATGCTTTGCCGGCAGGCAAGAAACATTATTCTCGAGTTTTTCCTAGTTATACCCCTGCAAAATTATTGCTCATAGGCAAAGACCGTCTCTGTATTCTTTGGGCTGATTTGCACCGTAACACTGCTTGAATTTACTCTACCACATTTGATGTTCATGTGATTGATCGGCAACCACGTGCTGTAAATGTTTCCACCAATGTGTACAATGTCAAGGGTTCGCACCTTAACAACCTAGACACCGTTTTTATTCGCAGTGAGACAATATCACAACTCCCAGAAAGAGAGTGCACACTGGCTGCTGGGCCGTCCACGCCATGTAGGGAGCATAAAAGCAAGGGGCGTAAAGGCAAGGGTCGCAAAAGCAAGGCACGCCAAAGCAAGGCGTGAGAAGCTTGATGCACACACACACATATAATTTAAATATCTTTAATACCAACTGAGAGTCTGAGATTGCTCAGAAATGTCAAGAGGTACAGTTTGTGCCTAGTCCTTTGTTTATGCGCCGACTAGGTACCGTGCTTCTCGTTTTTACTCCGAATAGGTATCTTTTCCGATTTGTTTGAAGGTGAATTTCATGCTATTTGTTTTGAAATTTTCTAGCCTACAAATCTAAAATCTAATTAGATTATCCAAATTTAAGGAAGTTAAGTGGTGTAGACGGCTCTTCAAAAAAATTTCCCTTTTTTGATTAAAAAATTAAAAAACAAATTTAGGAAAATTTATTTCAGTACTCTCCACGTTGGTTTATGATTCTCCAAGAAATCAAATTTTATTTCTCATTAAAAAGTACTCCCTCCATCCCAAATTATAATGCATGTTTACTATTCACAGGGTCAAACTTCATTCACTTTCTTTCTCTATTTTCGTTAGCAATTTGATAAAATAAAATGCTATTGTTACTACTAGTTTTGTAGATCTTTTGATGTAGTATTTTAATACTCCCTCTGTCCCGCAAAAAAGTTCCCCTTTCGTTTTTTTTTGTCCCAAAAAAAAAACTTCTCATTTGTCATTAAAAGTCCATTATATCCCTCCATCCCAAACCCTAACCAAATCTAACCTAACCCACCCCCCACCCGTTCTAATCTTCTTCTCTCCTCCGCCGTCACTTGGAGGGTGGAGCGATAATACCTCCTCCGCCTCTTCTCCGTGTAGCTGGCCGCTGCTCCGGCGGCGGATCAGTCACCGGAATATCTCTCTACAACTACAACATAACCTCCGAAATTCCGAGTGAAATCTGCAATCTTAGGAACCTCACCACGCTCGATCTTTCCGACTTCTCCCCGTCCCGGATCCCGGTGGGCGTCGACGAATTTGATCGGAGAAATTCCCAAAAGCTTCGAGAATTTGTCGAGCATGGAGCAATTGGATTTGGCCATGAACCATTTAGAAGGTGAAATCCCACGAGGATTGTTTCTGCTCCCAAAACTCAAGAACCTATATTTGTATAATAACCAGCTTTCCGGTTCAATTCCATCCGATTTCGCCGAGAATTCGACACTGGTCGAGGTGGTTTTGTCCGGCAACAAGTTGACCGACGAGATCCCGGGCGGGTTCAGAGAGTTGTAGAGACTGGAGGTTTTAGCCCTCTTTTGGAACCAGTTATCCGGTGGGGCTTTGCCACTTGAGATGGGGCTTCGATTCCAAACTCGAAGGGCATGTGGGGGGTATTTTGGAACCAGTTATGCTTCATTCCAAACTCGAAGGGCATGTGGGGGGTATTTTGGGCAAGTCAAAGCCAAAATATCCCCTCCTTATTTTGGGGGACTTTCCAAATGGGAAGTTTTATATGGGACGGAGGGAGTATTTATTTTTGGAGTCAGTTGAAAAATCCTTTTAACTGTTCAAAATATATTTATTGAGTCAGTTACAAAAGGTGTGTCAAACATTTATCAAAATATTTATTTTGTATTAAAAATCATTTTTGGAAAGCAAAAATATTTTATTCAAATATTTTTCGTGTACATCGTTTGACAGACAAAATAATTTTGGGACTCAATTTCTACACTCCAAATATCTTTCATTTATTCAAAGTTAATTTTGAATAATGTTTGAGGTGATGGTGAGCCTTACCCGGTTACCCCTGATATTCTTGTTGGAAACAAACCTATAAACTCCATTTTGTCCTTCACCTCGCCCGCATGCTTGTGTTGTTCTTGTTTGGGCATTATTGTTGCAATAGTCGATTATTACCTCTAGAATTAATCGATTATCTGTTGCAGAATGAACTAATCGATTAATACCTTTGGCTTTAATCGATTATCACTTTTCCGCGCAGAAGGAATTTTGCTCAGACGAATTAAATCGATTTTTTCAGCTGCATTAATCGATTATGATGATGCACTAATCGATTACGATGATGCATTAATCGATTTTTATGCTGCATTTTTCATCACAGCTTCTTTCCTTGGACCAACGGATATATTTCTTCACCTCCTATTTAAACACCCTTCCTTGGTCATCTTTAACAACAAGAAACACTCCAATACTCCCATTCTTGAGTTGTTAATCCTCCATCATTCTTTCCTCAAATTTAAATTATTTTGAGAGAAAATTATTTATTTTCAAGAGAGGTTTCTTGTCATCCATTATAGCAAAACATTTTCTCATTCCCACTCTTTTGAGAGCTATTGTTGAGAGGTTGAAGAAGATTGTTTTTTTTGTTGTTCAAAACTTATGTGACTTAAGTCTTGGTTGTGAAGTCTTGTGGAGGGCACATCTACAAGCGGTTGTGTCGAGGCTTGTGGGATTCAAGTTCTCGAGTTGTAAATGGTTTGTTAAGCACCCGTAAGCTTAACGGAAGTAGTGGTAGCTTCGAGAGAGTCTCTCGGGGAACTGGACTAGCCACGAGGTGGTGAACCAGTATACATCGGTGTGTTCTTTGCCTTCTCTCTTTTATTTCCGCTGCACTTACGTTTATATTATTAATCTTGCGAAAATCGATAATCATTCTCAACAACTCTATTTACCCTCCTTCTAGAGTTGCACGCATTGTCTAACACATGCTACATATATTAATCCTTTACCAAGGAATTCTCACCATAATAAAGTGCTTCCTAAAATACAAAAGGTAAGTAAATAATTAAATGTGAAACTATCCTAATAGGGCCGTGCGTTAGAAAATGATTCATGCATAGCCATGAATGGTATGATATGATTTCCAAGAATAGATTATTTTCTTAACATATGGTGATTGACAAAATTTACGAAAAATATTATTAAGAAACAATCCTAAATAGTACGGAGTACTAAATTTGAAAGTTATGATCATGAGTATATTATTCATCACCTTACTTATATTATGTATGTTGGATAATACTAATATTATTTTGGATCCCTTTACTTATATATGACAATTGTTAATTATGTATCTTGGATAATCAATAATATTATTCTGGATTCGTTTATTTTTTGTAAGGAATTCGTTATATCTAGGATGGACCCAATATTATTTTGAATTCCTTACTTACATATCTAATTGGCAATGAGTTAAATTTCTCACTTTATATCCAAATTTATGGAAACTCTTATATACTTGGATCAAAATCCTATTATAAAAAGAGATATATAATGAGTTGAAATGTGACATCCACCACCCATTTTCATTTTCCATTTCAATACATAGGCATTCAGAATTAATTATGCAACAAATAAGTGGAGAATCGTTAATTCAACTTCAGCCTTTTGTTTTTAAAAGGATTAGTGGTAGGAGTATCCTATTTTTCAATTTCAATTGGGGCTATGGAAAATCAAGTTGACGATATATGGGGCAATAACTTTGTTCGCTTCTTTGTTTGAACCTAGGCATAAAAAATTAAAATTATAGTTTTAGTAATATATACTCCCTCCGTCCCCCATAGATCTTCCCAATAGCCCTTTTTCTTTGTCCACATCTTCTCATTTCATTTTTTAACAATTAAAATACCACAACTACCCCTACTTACTTTATTTATTACACCTCACCCACCTCATTTAATACAGTCCACCCATTTTCATTAAGGGTATTATAGTAAACTTTCACCTTTTTTTAACTCTCCTTAAAAACCACCAAAAGTCAAAATGAGAACATCTTAGGGGGACGGAGGGAGTATAGGTTAATTAGGTATAAAAACAAGTAATTTAAAACGCATGGTCAAAAACTCACATTTTCAAAGGTACTTCAGTTCCGTTCACATCCAGAAGCACTGCACGTTAAACTAAGGATACACACCGCAAATTGTTGCAAAGTGGGAGAGGATGAGCCATTTGCAAGCCACCAATCAACTACAATACAACAAAATTGCCTTTGTTAGTTCATTTAAGTCTTAATTAAAATTTCCAAAATATAAAAATGTTGATTGCATACCAAAACATTTCTTCGTTTACTTCATGGTAGATCTCATTATCGTTAATGAGTCTTTGCATTAATTCGTATCCACAGGTGATAACGTTAGAGTGGCGTTTCATATACGTCTTGTCGTATTCAACTTTCTTCATCGAGTTTGGAATATATCCAGATACGTTCTTGATAATGACAGGTTTGATGTAACACTATGGTTGATTTCATTTCGAGTGAAGAAGATAATATCTTCAGTGCGTGATTCAATTCATGAATTCANATCGATAATAATCTTCAGAGATAACGTAATCGCATCAACCATTTTGTGGTTCACAAAGAGAGGTTCAACATAATATTCTAAGGAATTTAAAATTAGATGTCAATTTTAGAAGGATTTAACAAATTCTCCATGTGAAAATGAATCCTCCAAGAAAAGATAAAAATATGTGTACTTTTTTTTAAAAAATAGTTTATATATATTGAATATTTTAAACAATTGAATGGACGAATATTAACAAAGTTGATTAAAAATATATTCATATTTAAAAACATTTTAAAAAAAATTCAAAACTTTGCAATAAAAATGTGAGTGCATCTAACATTTTTGGAGTGCATTTATCAATTCCCAAAAAGAATCAATTATAAAATTTACTCATCTAAAAAAAGAGAATGAATGAGGAAGGAAAACATTAAAGTGGTGAAGCCATTATTAAAGAGGAAAGTGATCTATCAAATTGGGGAGGAAGGGCTAAGGTCATGTTCGTGTTCTAATTGGAATAAGTTCATGTCTCGTCTCATTTGATTTAATTTTATTTTAATAAAAATAAATAATACGGAGTAAGTTAAAAAGAGGGGAGAACTCCAGCACCTGACCCTGTACCACGTAGGGGTGAGCGTGGTACGGTATTTAGTCCGTACCAATACCGTACCAAATATATCGGTTCGGTATGAGATTTTACATCGTACCGATCTCGGTCCCGAAATATCGGTTCGGTATGGTTCAGGATGGTTCGCTTTCGATTTCGGTAAATATTGGGACGAATATATATACTTACCTAGTTTATACTTTGGAATGTACAAAATTTTTTATTTAAAAAAATTGAAAGTACATTCAAAAAAATAAGATAAACAATTGGAAAATGAATAATTAAATGCAAAAATACTTATAAAACTTAATTTAATTTATACTTCATATTTTACAAACAAAAGAGAATGAATGATAAGAAAATAATATTTCAAATATTTGTTATATAAATCTACAAAAAATAAAATTCAAATAAATGATTATATAAATAAAGATTTTTTTGTAATTCATCTACACTTGAACCAACTTTTCAAAATCAATTTATTTTTGAATGAAGAAATATAAAAACATTGTTATTTTTAGAACGTATTTGTATATATGTTCGGTTCGGGATTTTTCGGTATGGGAAGTTACCTCGTACCGATCCCAAATACCGGACCGATCATTCGGTTCAGTATGGTACGGTTCTTTTTCGGTATTTTATAGGTTTGGTATTTTTAGGTTGTGTAATCTCGGGTGTTTTTGGTAAATTTCGATATCCGTACCACGGGAAAAAAACCAGACAGCTTCTTCCGGGGTCTAGACAGCACGGGAAAAGAATCTGTAGCAGCGGAAGGAGGAAACGGAGTAAGAAGGAAGAAAGAATGAGTGGGCCGCAGCCGTACCACCAGCCGACCACACACGAGGAAGTCCGAACCCTTTGGATAGGAGACTTGCCCTATTGGGCTGAAGAGCCTTATCTCCAGAGCTGGTTCGCCGATACCGGCGAGGTCATAACTTTTGTTTTTCTCTCAAGAAAGTGATTTTTTATGCTTAAACCGTTCTAATTTTTTTGTCAATTGTACAATATCTTGCATTGTTTCCACCTCCAATTCTTTTATTTTAAAAGCTCCTAGACTAGAAATTAGCGCTAATACTTCATATTCAGTTCCTCAATGTTATGCTGTCTGCTCTTCAAAGTGATGCTGTTCACTGCTTGATCCGTCCCAAAATTAGCTTCCCACTCTGGGGTTGTCCCAAGATCAACTTTCTTTTTTGAAAACAAAATAAAATTTATATAATTGAAATCTACGTCAAGAGTTCTACAAAAACAAGAGTTGACATGACTATGTTATTTTATCAAATGCGTAATGAAAATAGGATAAGAACGTGGATAATGTTTGACCTGAATAGTAATTGAGAGGATTGTATTGGGATGAAGGGAGTATTTACCACCTCACTTCACTTTCACCAAATCCAAAATAAGTAGGAATGGACATTTATACTTCTTCTGTCCCATAAAACTTTTCAAAGATGAAAAAAGGCACACCCTAAAAATGTATAATTTTGATATTATTTTTCTACTTTTACCCTTACTTACAATAAGGTAAGATATGATGTGTAGGATAGATGGGTCATAATTAGAAAATAGTATCAAAATTACTCATTTTTAGGGTACGCATTTTTTTGTCATGGAAAAGTTTTATGGGATGGAGGAAGTATAATTTTCTTTAGACTCTTAATCTTTGTTTAATTTTCACACGAGAAGATAATTTGGGTCGGAAGGAGGATTAAGTTACAAAATATAGTCCATTGGTCTAAGATTCAGAACAAGGCTATTCTGGTGCTTGTGGAGGATAAGCTGCAAGAAGTTAGAATGAGGTTGTTTGGCCACATTAGGAGAAGTACATAGCCTCCTTGAGGAGATGCCAGAGGCTGGCGATGTAGGATGTGGTGAGGGGTAGATGTAGACCTACAAAGAATTGGATGAGAGTGATTAAACAAGACCTACGACTTGAGGATCTTGCCGAAGATATGACCTTAGATAGGAACCCCCGGAGATCTATGATTAAGGTAGTTGGTTAGACATGATGACCTTAGATAGGGCCTTATTTTGCAGTGTGTGCTTTTTGTGCTATATCTCTAGTTCTTAGAGTCAATTTATGTGCTTCTTTTATCATTGTTCATACTTTGTTCATGTTTCAATCGTTTCTTTGTTAGTACTTCTGTTTCTGAGCCAGGGGTATCTTGGAAACATCCTTTCTACTTCATTGTAGGCGTAAGGTCTACGTACAGACACCCTCCCCAGTTTATTTTTGTGGGATTTTACTGGTTTGTTGTTGTTATTTTTGGTCTTAGTGGCATATTTGTGAAAACTGATCATGTATTTATGTAGAAATATGAAATGGAGAGAATGGTTACAACATTTGCATTCAAAGGAAACTAAAAAATTATATATCTCCTTGAAAGTCTAGAAAATGAACAAAGCATATATGCTAAATCAACCAGAATATTTAAAGTAGTTATGTTAAATGAATCAGGATTAATTAGCGTTCTAATTGGTACTATTAGTCCACCGGTCAAGATTGAGATCTTTCAACACTACCTCTCAAGGCTCAATCTTGGGTGTAGATGTTGGACAAACCTAGCTTGGACTTGAGTTCATCACAAGATTTTCGTGGCAAGGCTTTGGTTAGTATGTCAGTAGTCTTTTGACCTGATAAAATATAGATGAGCGATAATTTCTTGACTCAATGTTTTCCTTGATGAAACGTGTGTCAATATCAATATGTTTTGTTCTATCATGAAAAACATGATTCATTGCCATGCTGATAGCTGATTGATTATCACAGAAGGTGCTTATAGGTTCTGTTAAGTTCAGCTTTAGCACTACTTAAGGACACTGCTGACTGATTTTGTCTTCACCAAGTAACTAAGTTTCTCCAAACAAAGGTACAATGACCTGAAGTTGAGTGCCTGTCTTTTATTGAAGCAGATGTCCTTTTGAAGAATAATCATTGCCCTGATGTCACTTTAAGATACCTCAAAATGCTGTATACTGCTTCAATGTGCTCTTGCGTAGTATTATGCATGAATTGACTTACAGCACTCACTGCAAAACGGATGTCAGGTCTTGTGTGTGAGTTTAACTGAGTTTACCAACAAGCCTTTGGCATCTTCCTCTGTCAACATGACATTTGTCTTTCTTGATCCAAATATTATGTAGGATGACTAAGATCCATTGCAGTGTCTGCTGGCTTGCATTCCATCATTCAAGTTTCTTTTAACAAGTCCAAAATATATTTTCTTAAAGAGCTCGATATTCCACTTTTGGATCTTGCCACTTCCATCTCAAGGAAGTATTTGAGATTACCCAGATATTTGATTTCAAATTCCTCAGTTAGGAGTTTCTTCAATCTGAGTGTTTCCTCATTGTGATAATGATATCATTTACATAAACAATAATGATTGTTCTTTTTCCTGAGCGGGAAATCTTGACAAACAAAGAGAAAGTGTGATCTGCTAGACACCGGACATACCCATTTCTTGATAACACTTCAGTGTAACCTGTCAAACCAAGCCTTTGGTGATTGTTTGATCCATACGATGCCTTTGAGTTTGCAAACTTTGTTACTGGTGGCTGATGTATGAAATCCAGGAAGTACCAAATTTGCTGCAAGTGAGAGCATTACTAGGATAGAATTAATTTTGGCCACTGGAGCAAATGTGTCTTCGTAGTCAATTCTGTATGATTGGGTGAATCCTTTGGCTACAAGTCTAGGTTTATATCTATTAAAACTTCCATCTGACCATCTGCATTCATTTTGAATGTGAAGATCCACTTGCATCCAACTGTATTGTGCTTCTTTGGCAGTTAAGTTCTCCTTCGCCATTCTTTTTCAAGGCATGCATTTATTCTAGAACTGCTGCCTTCCATTTTGGAATTTGAAGAGCTTCATATATTAAGTTTGGCACCAGAATTTTATCAAAACAACCAAAAAATGCAGTGTTTTCTGGTTCTGCAATCCCATTTAATTGATTTGTATCAACAGATGAACTATACCCTGTTATGCCAAATAAGTTCCTAGGATGGATTCAAAATACTCTTTTGCATTGTTAGTTTTCAACACTTGATTTCTGGTTTGAAATTGATTTTGTTTCAAAGAGTTAAACTATTTGAATATGTTGCCAACATCATATTTTTGTTCATGAGGAACAACCACGTAAGACGGGTATGATAATCTACATATGAAACAAACCACCTAGCTCTGGTGACATTTTTAACTCCTGATGGTCCCTAGACACTATGGACCATTGAAAATGGACGAGATAGTTTATATGGCCATATGGAACGCTATGAAATGCATTACAAGAATGTTTTGCATCCTGACACACATCACATTTAAAAGACTTCAGTTTTTTATTTTTGAACAATGAAGGAAACAACTTTGGCAAGTAAATAAAGTTTAGATGTCCTAAACGATAGTGCCATAACATGACTTCATATCCTTATTATCATAGGGAATAGAAATGGAAGTAGGAGGGCACTTTGATTCTACACAGGCCACGTGAGGGATTTTATTGACTTTAAGAAGGAATAGTCGTGAGCAAGTTTTACCACTACTAATTGTCCTCCTCCAGTCCAAGTCCTGAGATTCACAGAATTTAGGTATAAATTTTGCAACACAATTATGATCTTGAATGAGTTTTCTGACTGACACGATTTTAGTTTAATTTTGGAACATGAAGAACAGATTGTAAGATTAAGTCTTTTGAGACTATCATCGAACCTGTTCCTTCCTGTTTAGAGATATGTTTCAAAGAGTGAAATAAGACTTTTCTTCAAATGAGGCATGAATTCCACAACCTTCTTTATGACCTGTAAACTTGGTAGACTTCCAGCATTCAGGTTTTCCATGAATTTTCCAGCAGGTATGTTGATTGTGACCTAGTTTTTTGCAATCGTCACACCAAGCAGTCAAGCACTTCCTTTTCTTTGACGATCGTTCTGAATCCCCCCACCTTTTGAGCAGTGAATTCAGTTGGAGTTACTGCCAATGCAGAATTTTTGGGAGCTGAGTTGACAATGAGTTCTTTGATCATTACCTTCATCTTGCTTTCTTTTCAACAATCTCTCAAAATGTTTTAGCACCATCAGGACATTTTCATTCTTGAACCTCAAAGGCATCCGGGCGTTGCCAATGATGAGCAAGTATATTTTAATATTGAGTGACATTGAGGTTTCCTTGTCTGAGGTCATGAATAATTCTCTCAATTTCAAAGATCTCTGCAGCATTTTCTTTACTGGAGTAGAACTCTTTTGCGGCATCCCAAAATTCATAAGCTGAGTTATACATTAGAAATTTTCTCCAATATTTGTTTTCATGGAATTAATAAGCCATGACATTACCATGTTATTTTCTATCTTCCATTTTCTAAAAAGAGCATCTTTAGGGCTGGGTTGAAGGACTTTATCCATGAGGTAGTGGTCCAAACCCTTTCTGCACAGAAATATCTTTACAGATTAAGACCATTGAAGATAATTGTTCCCATTCAATTTGTGTCCAGTTATAGAATGGGGGATTGTCGGAACTCGCAAGGAGATAATTATCTCCATTAGATTTTCCATGTAAGGTGACTGATGGACTTTCAGAGGTAGCCTCTCCCTCTGACAGCAGTGCTTGAAGAACTGCATTGGCGCGTGAGGATGTTGACCAGAAACAGATTCACTGAGCAGGATTGCGGGACGAACTGGAGTCTCTTGCTGGTGGCGGTGTTGTCACGCGTGCATTGGGGATTACAAAATCTGGATGGGAAAGATACAGCTCCAGCGGAATCTGTTGTGGAGGCGTGTGGGCTACGTCGTGGAGATTTTTTGGCAAGGAGTGGCTATGATGAGCCTGGACTTGTGGCGGTTTCAGATTTTGAAGAAACTCTCCTAGGAGTTTTTCTGGAAGAAAGTCACTAGAGGTTTAGCAGCTCAAATGGCCAGAAAAAGTGGTGATCTCGATTCTCGCCGGAGAGGGAAAAGGGTTCACTGCTCTGAGAGCATGTAGAAACTTAAAATGGAGAGTTTTTTTTCTTATTTTTCTTCCTTCACAATGGTTACAACATCTGAGTTTAAAGGAAACCAAGAAACTGCAGATCTCCTCAAAAGTCAAAAGAAAATATTCAAAGTAGATATGCTAAATCAATTAAAATAGGGATCTTATGGAAACAACCTTTCTACTTCCAATT